TATATATATATATATATATATATATATATATATATATATATATCCTTTGTGCTTGGTTTAATTCAAACGATATAGAATAGCATTAAGACAGGCTTTTCAAGATATTCAAATGTGATTTTGTTTATGTATCTTTTCGTATATATATATTTTCAGCTTTACCCAAGAGTAACGGCAAAACGAGATTCTCAATAGCACCAAGCCAGATACACACGCCAGTCTCGTACAGTCTCGAACTAACCGACACTGCATGAGATAACGAACTGTTATTAACAAGTGCCACTGTCTTCTCTACTTCGGACATTTTGTTGGAGATGCCAGTTTTGCATTAGCTTTGTTTTTTGTTTGCTATTATTATTTGTGTATGAAAACGGATGAATTGATTGTACTTTATGAAATTACGGTAGAGTTGCTGTAAATAACTGTAAAATACATTCGTTATTGGTCATTGATAATTTTGGCCAAGTGTCTGTCGTAAATTAGCTTTTATTGATGAATTGTATTAATTACGGTTTTAAATACTGATAATACCACTTGTACGTATTGTTTGAATATATAACATTTTGTATATAGGAGAAACAAATACTATGACTCTTCTTCAACCATGGATGATTTGAAGTATCGAGTGAAGAAAGAATTTGTATATCATGTATTATACGAAAAGTTGCTATTTTCCGTCCATGTTTTCGGGTTCCTGAATTTATTAGTTACCGGTAGAGGGACAGGTAGAGAGCTTAAGCATTTTGTTATAGTTTACCTAGAATGGTGCTTGACTATAAGAAAAGCATTGCTAAGTTGACATAATATAGCCTCACAGTAGGGCTGGTTTAACTTTGTTCAATACGAAAACAAGTCTTAGCTGACTACCTTTATGTTTACGAAATAATTTGGGCTTGGCGATAAGAGAGAGAAATATATGTACTTGTAATTACGAATTGTATAGCTCGCAAAGCTATCCCCCTGTCAACAATACTAAATTATAAAACCAGTGACTCTTTTAAGACACAAGGTTTTTGTAAGATATTTTTTTAAAATATGAATACATTTTAACGAATAAGCATTATCGAGTTGACATAATATAGCCTCACGGTAGGGCTGGTTTAACTTTGTTCAATACGAAAACAAGACTTAACTGACTAGCTTTGTTTACGAATTAATTTGGGCTTGGCGATAAAAGAGAAATATATGTACTTGTAATTACGAATTGTATAGCTCGCAAAGCTATCCCCCCCTGGCAACAATACTAAATTATAAAACTAGTGACTCTTTTTAAGACGTAAGGTTTTTGTAAAATATGTTTTTTTAAATATGAATATATTTCTGTTTCTTGTATCCGACACTTATAATTAAGCATCCCCTGACCCCAACATAGCACTGCTTTATATAGACGTTATGTAACTTGGTTCGAATTTTTAAAATCTGTATATACCTATAACTGAATATGTGATTTCAGACTGTTGTTAGTTTTTATGATGATTATTTGTTCATAGCCCTTCCGTTAGTTGGTCATTACAATCATGATACACGGTTTCGTCCAATTCAAGTTCATATCGAAAAATGTTCTTCCAATTTTGATATCCATTAATGTTGCAGGGGCTTGATATTATGCATAAAAGAACATGAAGTTGTTGCCTGAATGCTGGAGTCTATGAGGTACATATCAGTGGAGAGCTTATTTTCTGTTTAACTTGAATAAAACATTCCATATTGATAATGTGTGGATGGTATGTTTCTGAATTTTTTCATTTGTATCACTGATTAGTTACTGTCGCAAGAAATAAAAAAAAGCCAGTTATCGAATAGTGTTTTTTCCAATGCATGTGAACCAAATATCAAAACTTTAACCTGAGTACTCTTAGACAGCTAATTTGTAATTTCTGGTAAAAAAATAGTTCTCTCAAATGCATTTGATTTCGAACTATGACTAGCTACTTCTCGAGAGTTCAGATAGTGAAGAAAAAAAATCAGAATCGCAGAAGTATTTTCATTTGGTACTTTTACATGTCGCAACATTAATCACATCAGTTACACGATCTTAATCTTTCTTGTATTGTGATTTCAATATCAATCTAGAAATACTTTAAAAGTCTAGAGGTTATGACTCGTGAGATTTATTTTCACGCACCAGTTATTTTTCTAAATATTTCGTTGTATGAAATATGGTTTGAAACTTAAAAGAAGTAGTTGGTTCGAGTAATTCCAGATTCTTGGAAGTTAGGTAAGAATAATGTCAATCAACTCTAGTTACGTACAAAAAAACTAAAGAATATTAACAGAAACCAATAAACCATGTGAAGGGGCTTTTCGTTGCGAAATAGACCGGTTGTCGAAAAATCGATTATCTTTGTAAACCTAACCTTGTTAGAGCGGTCTGATAGGTCTCTGGAACTTGGAATACAGAATTCTTGTGCCACTGGAGGGCTGCAGAATTATTTCTGTTCTTACAACTTCGATTAGTGAAAGGCGTTGTAATTAATGAGACAGAAGTTGACGCAATTCCGGAAAGCAACTTACAGTGATTAAACTGGAAATTATCACCGGTGGAGGATATTAATATTCAAAGGTTAAGAAGTTAGCCATTGGAGGCTCTTCGTGCCTGACACAGTCGTGAAAGGGAGTATACAAGTTTCCTCAATAATTTTTTGTCCCATTTTCTGTGAATTTGAATTTATTTTTAACAATATAATTATATTTTTACATGGGATAAATAAATTATGATTAAGCTGTGACCTCAATCAATGTAAAGAATTTCGCGTGTTGTAAATTACTTATCAGCCCTATAGAGCAATTCCTTTAAATAATTTATAATGCCAGACCATTGGCAAGTCGATAGTGCAAAATAAAATAGATCCTATATACAAAGCCAACAAGTACACTGACAGAAAATTCAAAGCTCTTCTCATCGAACAACTACGACCACAGATGAATATGTACAAAAGATGGCGCCTATAATTTTAATTATTTTATTTTTTATCCTATCATTTTGTTATTTCACTCTGTAATCTTAATAGAACTTTTATTTATTACAGGTAGCAGTTAATTCTTTCAACAATAAGCTTTACTAATTAATATATCAAGATTACGTTGTACAAATGCACGTTATAGATTCGAATTGAATTTATTATTTAAACCATTTGAAGCTTTGTACTGTCAGTTTCGGTTTGTGTTTTGGTGAACGCTCCTGAAGAAGCTGTAAAGCGAAACGTTGAGTGTTTAATTAAATAATAATATTTTGGTGTTGTAAGGTCGTTTATTTCTAGTATTAATACAGTTATACTGTTGTCCTAACTACCAGGTCTATTTCATCAACGTAATAATGTAGAATAAGCATAGATATCATTTAACAGCTTGGGCCAGCCCGCATGTTTTTTATTTTTCGTTAGTTTTTCTTATAATAGGGTAAATCTTTTTGTACAGATCTGCTTACAGTAAATGATGAAAATGAGTAGAAATTGCAGAATAAAAAGAAGACCCCTACATTTTGCCGAAAAAGTATACTAAAATGTAAAAGTGTCATTATGCAATCACGTTAATAGACCTACAATTTAATAATTATGATTTACGAACGTATGACATCAGAAGTGTTTTTTTTTCCAGCATCATGTGACCTACATTTACTGTGTACACATTTTGTGGGAATGCAAATTTTATTAAAAAGATCAAATAATTGTTATGCTGTAATTTTACTACGATCTAAGTTTCACGAGATAATGCAGTCTGGCTGCAATTTTACTACGATCTAAGTTTTCACGAGATAATGCAGTCTGGCTGCAATTTTACTACGATCTAAGTTTTCACGAGATAACGCAGTCTGGCTGCAATTTTACTACGATCTAAGTTTTCACGAGATAACGCAGTCTGGCTGCAATTTTACTACGATCTAAGTTTTCACGAGATAACGCAGTCTGGCTGCAATTTTACGACGATCTAAGTTTTCACGAGATAACACAGTCTGGCTGCAATTTTACTACGATCTAAGTTTTCACGAGATAATGCAGTCTGGCTGCAATTTTACTACGATCTAAGTTTTCACGAGATAACGCACTCTGGAGGTGATGGTTCACGCTTTTGAAAATATAAAACATGTTTTTGAAGAGGATTATTTTGCTTTAAAAACCTGATATTCAATATTGATTTTGAAATGTACTGGATTAATTTATTTCGATATAAAAGTTTGTGTTCTCCATGTGCAAACCTAATAATTGAGTTAAACATGAAACAATTCATCACGAGTTATTGATGAGCTATGAATAATGTACAGGAACATGCAAAAAATTTACACTTGTAACAATGTGCACACAGTAACTTATATTACCACAAAGTACATACACGTGTGAGGTTAACGAATGGCTTGAAAATTAGATATTCATTTCTTCATTTTATATTTGGATTGTTTTCTACTTACTTGTGATCTTCATAGATGACGCGGATATCGTAGTTACTTTACTTCTGTGTTCATGGTCAGGTCTTCAAGAATATCATGTAGTACACTACACTAAACTTTGTTAATATTACTAAGTTTGAGATGTACAGAATGTGGAGTTTTGAAATGACTTATTAAAACAAATCCAGTAGGTGGCGGCATGTATACCGAATATTTTTCTTCACTGTGACAAGTTCATCGAATTCCACTGGAACGTATAAGTGCTTTAGCCTAAAATAACGTAAAATGAATTACTTTTAGTTATATTGAGTGAAGATAACCGTCTGAAAATCTGAATAAGAAACTGCAATACAACATAAAGAGTATGATTTAATATAAACCTAATATTTAAATATATATCTGTAAATATATTTTTTTAATTGAAAATTGATTTGAGTGCCCATAACAACAAGAATCAAGCCATTTGACGTTTAATTCAAATAATTAAGTTAATCATTTAATTCAAGGTTCTGGTCACGTTATAATATTATTCATAGGATAGAATAAACTTCTTATTTTATGCCATAGGTTATGTGGGAATATCTAAAAACTACACCAAGTGATGAAATCCTATATCATCTTTCATTCCGGGGCCGAGTGAGGCTCAACGGTTAGCGTGCCGGACTGCGGATCTGACGTTCTTTGTTAGCGTACTGTTACCGCCACAAATTAAAAATATAATACACATGATATAGACGTTCCTGATTTTACTACTGACTAGAGAGATGACAGCCAACCAGCAACGCCTGTTGCAACAAAGGCTTTCTTCAGCTCTTTCAACCGAATAACAGGATTGGCTATTGCACCAAAAAGCATTGAGGATGTACCGTCTATCAGATATAATCAAAATAACAAATGCAAAAGTAGAAAGCAAGCTACAGATTCAATGAGGAGTTAGGATCTAGGTGCTAGAACCCACGACGTCCCAGATCCCATTACCACTCACCATCTAAAGACATATAAATAAAATCTAATATTATCAACCATCCTCGATTTTTATCATAAATATCACCTAACCTCCACTCTTTTTTTTGTAATTCTAGTAATACACAATATTGTATTTTTTAGATATAGCTTATAACATCATATAGCAGCATTAGAGAGGGCGAAAGTCCAATAGAGCCATATGCTCACGAGGAAGTTGACATGTTGCATGTGGGAGGTGCAGCACAACGTGGGCATCACACAATCATGGTCAGAACAGAAGACATCGATGTGGTTGTAACTGTAGTTTCCTGCACACACAAAATTATGTTTCCGAAGTAAGGATAGCCTTTGGTGAATGCAAACGCTTCACTGAGGTATCTTGCAGCACACAAAACTTAGGATGTAGTTGAAACCATGTAAACCAAGAACCCACCAATACTAGGTCTATACAGAATTATGTAGTGACTAGAAATAAATGACGTCTTTAGATTATTTTAATATCCCCAATGAATATATATATATATAAGTTTCTAATTCGGCCACCATAGGAGTTTTGGGGCGGCTCCATAATAGAAAATGTTTAAGGGGTATGAATGAATATTCATACTTTGAACCCAAAGTGCAAGATTTTGACCATATCCCTGGCTTAACCGCCCTCTTTTCACTCTCATTTGTTAAAATTAACCACATAAAGGACATAGTTCAAGTAATATTTTTCGAGACTAGTGCTGTGCATGAAAATTATGAAAGTTTGAAAAAAAAACAGAAATAACATTTATTAATTTTAGACCTATTAAAATATAATTATTGTTTTCATTATCACAAAACTTAAAAAAAACAAAAACAGAATGTACATAATTACAGAGTTAAACCATAATTATGGCCACTAACCAAAAGACTTAAATGAAGATAGAGAATAGAGATAGAGAATTTACTTATTTTTAACACGAATAAATAAATATAGAAACATGTTCGGTGTTTAAAACACTCAAACCGATCAGCAGGTACAAAGTTACTGTTTAACACTAATCCAATCTTTTATTATTTTAAAGCATTTTTCGGGGATAAGAGCGCACCTTTGGGTGAATGTTCGATCTCCTTTAATTATGGACCATATTGATAAATTCTTTAAGGTTTCACATTTTCTGGGCCAAGCGTGGCCTTGGAGTTAACGTGTCTCGTGTTTGCATTGTGAATCTGAGGATTCGAGGTTCACGTCCTGTTGCCACAAGAAAGAACGCGCTACACACTTTGGGTTAATGAGACAAGATTAATCCAAGAGCTGACGGTGGGTGCTCTTCACCATCTGCCCTCTCTGTAGTCAATCTGTACAAAGTTATGGCATCTCTAAGCACACAGCCTTTTG